TCAGTCAGAGAAGAAAAGCAACCCACCTGGGACCCCCAGGTTGTGATAGGATGCAGGCTTAGAAGCGAAAAACTTTTCTTACTAGCTTTAGCAGCTATTTTGTAGACCTCATGGGAATTTCTGCATGGACAATCATGTGGTCTACAAATAAAAAACTGTTTTAGTTATTCTTTCTAATCTGGATGCTATTTGTTTTTGTTTGTTTGTTTGTTTATGTATGTATTTTGCCTCGTTACACTAGTTAGAATCTCCAGTAGCACAATGTTGAATAAAAATGATGGGAGCTGGGCGCCTGGGTGGCTCAGATGGTTAAGCGTCTACCTTCGGCTCAGGTCATGATCCCAGGATCCTGGGATTGAGTCCCTCATCGGGCTCCCTGCTCCTTGGGAGCCTGCTTCCCCCTCTGCCTCATTCTCTCTCTCTCTCTCTCTCTGTCTCTCATGAATAAATAAATAAAACATTTAAAAAAAACTGATGGGAGCAGACATCCTTGTCTTGTTGATCTTGCGGAGAAAGTGTTCACTCTTTCACCATTAATTATGATGTTAGCTGTCGGGTGTTCATAGATTCTTATTAAGTTGAGAAACCTCCCTTCTATTCTCTGATTTGTTGAGGGGTGTGTGTGTGTGTGTTTGTGTGTGTGTGTGTGTGTGTGTGTGTGTGTGTGTGTGTGTGTGTGTTTAAATCAGGAATGAATGTTGGATAGGGTCAAATGCTTTTTTTCTTTTCCCTTATTAAAAAAAAAAACTTCTAAAAATGGAAATTTCCAACATAACAAAAGTCTTCTGGATTCTCCCTCCATCCTCTACTCTTCCTCTTCCTTGCAGTTGCAAATACCTGCTCATTGCAGACTCTCCCACATTCCAGATTTTGCTGGTTGCAACCCCCCATGGTCTCCCACCCTCTGCATTTCCTGAAAATTGGTCGCTGGATCGTAACAATGAGGTGTGCTCAGGTTTAGGTTCTAGGCGGTCTAGCCTCTTGTCCCTTCTCTGCGGAGCATCTACTTTCAGAGGTCCTGGAGTCAGGACTGGCCTCTGTGTTTTCATAAGTTTTGAGGGTTCCGGAGTGTGGACAGGCTGGGGGGCCACTTCAGAGTGAAATCTGCATGGACACTCTCCCTCCTATTCCCTCCTTGGATCTTGAATAAAAACTGTGCATTTGATAATTTATTGTAAAAAACAAAACTAAACTAAACTAAACATTGTCCCATTGTTAATTCCAGGCGCAACCTAATCAGAGATTTTTCCAGAGAGAGCTAGATAAGAAAACGTGGTCAAACAGGTTTGAATGTCTAGAAAGTCTCTCTTTAATTTTAAATGAAAAGTCACAAATGGTATATCCAATCAAGCTGGAAACTGAATGCTGCGTTTTGTCCACTAAATGAAATCCTTTGATCCCTTCCCGCTCCACATTCATAGTTGGTGTTTGGATTACCATGTAGATGGACTAAATTCCTAGCAATCTGTGAGTTGGCTCCTGTTCCCTTTTTGGTTTGGGGTAAACTCCTTGTTTCTTTCTTTCTTTTTTTTTTTTTCTCACACAGCCAAAGACCTGTGACAATTATTCTTGGGGGGTGGAGACCAGAGGGGGTGTGAGAATGTCGGCGCGGGTGCTGGCCATGTTGTTTCTTGATTGGAGTGCTGGTTGCAAGGGTGTGTTCAGTTTGTGAACATTCCTCAAACCCTCTACAGATAATGGGTGTGCTTCTGTCGTACATGTTACAACCAGTGAAAAGTTGAGAGAAAGAAGAAAGGAAGGAGAGTGAGAGAAAGGAAGGATGGAGGGGTGAAGAAGGGGATCTGTGTCAGGAATGAAGAAAAGAAAAATACAAAATATAAAATAATCATCATTAGGAAGGACAAGTGCTGAAAATGATTTTTTAAAATAGGTATCCAGGCTAGTTTCAGCTTCTTGACTCTGAAAGAAAAGAAAAGCGGCAGTGTTGTAGGCAAACACAATAGCCCTTCAAGAGGGCTCAAGCTGTACAGACAGCCGGCCCCAACCCCAGCTCACAGACCTTCCTTGCTCTGCTACAGCTCTGCTACAGCTCCTGCGGCGCAGTCTCGTTTTCACCCCTGCTCTGGCTTCCAAAGCCTCACCCTGCCCCACTTCTCCCTTTCTGGGCTCCCATGTTCATTGGTGGTCCACAGGCCTTGGCCACCAGCATCCTCTGCTGCTGCTGCAGGAAACACCCCGTCAAAGAGCTTACCTGGCAGTAAGCACGACTTACAAGTGTGCGGCAGTGAGACCTGGCAGCCATGTTTTCTGAAACTTCTGCCCATTCTCCCCCTCCTCTACTTTTCTGGGTTTTTTGGTAAATTGAATTCTCCTTGGCTATATTAACTGCAGTTGCTATCTCACGGGCTATTTGTAATGAATCTTTTTAAAAGGCAGATGATGGATGTCATCCTAGTTTTGAGATGTTTCCTCAAAGTGAGCTTAGGTGCTACAGGTCAAGACAATTGATCTGCTGATACTGGGGTTTATCATTTGACTACCTGGGAGCTACCCAAAAGTTCAGTAGCATGTATTGATTTGTAATTCTGCTGAGGCTAGAACTGGAATCTGATGCCTTTGGCAGTAAAATGGAAGAGAAGGTCTTTGATGGAGGTCCAGAGCTTAAGCCTACAGAGAGGGAACCGAGAATGGGACAGGCTCCTAATCAAGCTGTCACTAACTCAGGGCAGGCTGGGGAAATAAGGTAAGTGAAGTGGCAGGAGTGGGCAGGGAAGCCTAGGTTCAGGGGTGAAGCAGCAGGATTGAGAGCCAGAGAAAGAGGTCAGTCAGAGTAGTCAGCCCAAAGGGCTGAAGTGGGACAGTGGAGAAGCCCTCTGTTCGTTCTATATTCTTCCTTCCTCAAAGTCCTCATGTACCTGTAGGGCTCCAGCGTACCCAATTCTATTTCCCCCACCCTTTCGATCTAATATTTTCTTTTTTTTTAAGATTTTATTTATTTATTTGACAGAGACACAACAAGAGAGGGAACACAAGCAGGGGGAGTGGGAAAGGGAGAAGCAGGCTTCCCACTGAGCAGGGAGCCCAATGCGGGACTCGATCCCAGGACCCTGGGATCATGACCTGAGCCGAAGGCAGACGCCCAACGACTCAGCCACCCAGGCGCCCCTCGATCTAATATTTTCAACCACAGGTCACCCCTATTTGGATGTTTCACTGCCAGTCAAATGCTGCTTGTCCAAACCCCAACTTCTTTTGGCCTTTGCTGTTTAGGAGGAACAGGTCCAGTGACTCAGGTGAATTCTCAAATACCAGTCAATATTTTCCCCACGATGTGCATAAACATGAAGGGGAAAGAATGTCAGAGGCATATTGAGTGGGCGAATCCTAGCTGGTGGCCTAGGCTCACTTCCAAGCTGGATGACATGTTCTTAATCCAGCCTCCAGGCGGGGGGGCAGTTTTAAGGTTTTGCCTCATCAAAACTAGAAATCTGCTCAAGCCACGGATCTCTGGAGTCACTGGTAAGGAGTCAAGCCATAAAAACCAATGGAATATAGATACCTGTATGTACCTCTGTGGGAGGAATCCATAAAACTGAATTTTAAACAAGCTACTGTGGTGATTCTTATGAATAGTCAAGTCCCTTCTCTTTGTTCCTTCTTGCTTACCCAGACAAAGCCTGTTTCACTGTGACTAATGGTGCAATCTTTCTGCCAGTCTTCTAGGTGACATTTAGAGCCACATCTGGCTTTTTCTCCTCCCTCATCCTTTGTGGGTAACCATTCACTAAGTACTGACATTTCTACTATCCCCTCTCCTGCCATGTAATAGCTAGAACAAATATTAATCGAGAGCTTGTGTATACAAGATGTATCAGTTTCCTATTGTCATATTTGGAATTACAATACATTTAATGATTAAAAACAGCACCGGTTTATTAGCTTATTAGCTGGTCAGAAATCTGGAGTTGGGTGACTGTGCTCTCTGCTCAGTGAATTAGGTGTTGGAAGCCTGAAATCAAGACCTCAGCCAGGCTGATTTCCCCTGTGGAGGCTCTGGGGAAAAATCTGCTTCCATGTTCATTCAGGGTGACAGAATTCACTTCCTCTTCGAATCTCCGACTTCTGCCACCAGCTGGAGAAAACTCTCCTCTTAAAGGGCTCATGTGATTAAGTCAGGCTCATCTAGATAATCTCCCTATTCCAAGGTCAACTGATTTGGAACCTTAATATCATAGGCAAATTCCCTTTACAGCAGCACCTGGGGTCGTGTTTGACTGAAAAAATGGGGGGAGGAGTAGATACACTGGGTCTGGGAATCTTGGAGACCATCTTGGAATTCTGCCTACCGTGTAAGGGAAGCAGAATTCTAAGAAATCTGCGTGTATTTCCTTAAGTAAGTCTTTCAATAGCACTATGAAACAGATACCACTGTTATTTCCTTTTTTTTTTTTAATTAGAAACTGACACACAGGAGAAGAATCTTGCCCAAGGTGACACAGTTGTTTTCATGACACTCCACTGCTCTTGGATTTTCATGTCTGTATTCATTCAACTACCTTCTAAGTGGCTTTCCTGTCTCCATGATGTTCTTCCTTGAATTTATTCGATATTCCTTGGCCAGACCAATGTTGGTTAAAATTTTTTTTGTCATCAAGTGGCTTTCCTAGATACAAAGAATTATAGTTAGCGATAGCAACAAAGAAGCCCTGTCCTGATGTGTGAGAAACTGAACTTATGCCCAAATATGAGAATCCAATATGAGAATCCATTCAGCTGTATCCTTGGCAAAGGTTTTATTATGCTAACTTAGAACTCTAATGGTTTGATTGTGAAGTGGCAGGAGGTGTGTGTGTGTGTGTGTGTGTGTGTGTGTGTGTGTGATTATAACACAAGGCACTGGGTATGGATTGTGTCTTCTCAGAAGGGAGGAGTGAGTGTGGATAATTCTTTAACAATAAGACAAAGCAGAATAGTAGGTTCAGGAGCAAATTTTATAGGTTATACTGAAAATATAAAAGTTAGCTCTTATACTGCAGAGTATACGCATGTAAAACATATGTTTAGAGACAGAATGAATTGAATGAATCTTTAGGAGACGAATAACTTATGAAGCTTCGTTTTACTTTCTCGTCCATTTACTCCTTCAACAAGTACTTGTCGAATGACACCATGTGCCAAGCTTTGTATCAACCACATTTATTTATTTTCTCCTAGGGTATTGCAAGCTTCCGAACTGGTTTTCCTGCTTTCACTCCACACCTACCCCCATGCCATTCTGCTACCTACACAGTGGCCAGAGAGATGCTTTAACCTATTATCTTGACACACTCTCAAAGCTTTCTAATACATTTTCAGCCAATTCAGAGTAAAATCCAAATCCCATGACCCATAATGTGACCTAAAGAGCTCTTCTCCTCTCTGTGTCCAAACCCATTTCCTCCCTCTCCCTTTCAGTCACTCTGCTCTAGAGAACACAGGCACAGGCCTCCTTCCCATGTTCCCTGGGCGTGGCAATCATGTGTTCACCTCAGACTTTCACAGGGGCCATTATTCCATCAGCTTAGAAGATCCTCCCCCAGTTACTCTTTTATTTGACTCAGATTGTTTACTCAAATGTCACTTCCCTGGCCACCTGAGCCGAAACAGCATCCCTGTCCCCACCATCTGCTCCTTTTCCTTCTTCTACTTTTCTTCCCAACACTCAATTACCACCTGATAAGCTATATATACTTTTATGTGTTTAGTTGGCTTGCTGTCTCCTTCCTTACTAGGATGTCAGCTCCTGGGAACAGAGACTTTGTTTTTTCTCCTAAAATATTCCAGTGACTGAAACAGTGCCCGGCACATTGTAGGAACTCAGACATAGTGAATACGTGAATGAATGAATATAAATCTCTATTTTTTGTGTTATTTATTTTTTAAATGCTGAAATAAAAATATGATTTAATAGTTCCAATGAAATAGTATGGTTTTACATTTTCCATATGTTTTTAGCCTTTCTTCATCACCCATATCCCCAAAGAATATGATGCCCCTATTAGTGAAGAGTATTAATACAATTTCTGGGGGAACATTTCCCAATAGAGTGGTGACAGGACAGACCAATAGCTTTGGAAATCAAATCACGGATTTTACAACTTTTAAGAACCTCAACAAATGGACTGTCTTCATGGCTTAAATGCCAAGGAACATAACTGAAAGTAGTAGTACAATCCCAACGCCTAAAATCTAACGTAAGCAGTGAGTGACTTGGGTTTCAGCAGAGTTCTTTCAAAACGACCCATCCAACCAGCTGGGAGACATTTCAGGCAGTAGAAGGACTGAATTCAGCAGTCAGGAACTCTCTTGGCAGCGAAGGCCTTGCTCCCAACCACTCCCTACTCAGTGATTGAGAAACACAATTCCCTATCCCATGATACATTTGGTGCCTCTGTCGTTTTGCTCCACAGCTTGGAATTTCCTAATGTCAGTGACAAGTCAGCTGGTGATGGTGAGATTGCCAGTATTCCTTGTACCCTATAAAGATGTTCAGAGGCTGAGTCAAAGCTTCTACAGGATTCTGATGGCCTCACACTTAAATATGGCAGAGAAGAGTATGCACAGAAATTTCCCAATTGTTTTTATGTGATGCTGAAAGACTGGTAGATTATCAGCAGCCCAATTCAAACTACCTTCACAGAGACTGTGGCCTCTGATATGTAGATCATTTGGAGATGTTTTTCCAGTAAAAGGAATTATCTTGTCTACAGCTCATGAAGGACTCTTGGGAAAAGGCTCAGGAAGCAGGGCATGACGTTTTGATGTTCTGTATCAGATCCCAGTTCCACAATGGTCACTGGTGTTGACAGACAGGTTCTGGAGTTACTTTGCTTCTTTCTCTTGTGCCCCACTGTAGTCCTTTCTGATAAGGATTCAGTCCTTGAAGGTAAAAATGATCTTTATTGCTTTTTCTGATTAAAAAAAGTAACGCACACATGTCATCTCAGAATTTTGGGGGGCTTTCTAAAATGCACCTAAGTAGGAGGGGTGTTATGAAGGGGGGAGCCCGATCTTTTACCCAGATTTTCTTTAAAAAAATTTATTTATTTATTTGAGAGACAGAGAGACAGGGAGAGAGCACGAGTTGCGGGGGGGGGGGGGAGGGCAGAGGGAGAAGGAGAAGCAGACGCCAGGACCCGGATCTCACGACCCACGCCGAAGGCAGATGCTTAACTGACTGAGCCACCCAGGTGTCTCTTACCCAGATTTTTATTATGGTATCTTATTCTGCGTACTCACTGAGGTGACCAGGTATGAACTTTTTTTCAGATTTGAACTTTGAACTCGAGTTGCAGGTATAGAGCGGTGGCCTCATTTGTCCCTTTTAACAACAGCGAATCAGAACAACTCAGACCAGCAATTCCTAGGGGGAAAATTGTGAGCAGTAAAACAGGTCAAAAGGTCAAAAGACAAATTTTCAGGCTGATATAAAACAGAATTCAAATTCAAGGGATAGATTACCAAAAGAAAAAAAACGGGAAGGTGAATCGGGTCTCTTTCCAGCTCTAGCGATCGTACGCGCCGTCGACACCCCGTGGGGCCAAGTCCCCTTGCCCAGTGTTTCAGTGTCCCTCCACTTATAGAGGCGGTGCACCGGCTTCATTTCACTACCCACCCGTCCCAATCCTATTAGCAGCACCGGCACGTTCACTCTACCTATGAAAAGCGGACACGGATTTGCTCCCCCCGTCCACGGTTTCCGATCACCGAATTACACTTTCATTGACCCTCTCTAGCACAGACAGCGTGGGCGGGCTTGGGGAAGTCAGGCGGGCCAGGTTCGCCCCAGACAAAGCGCAGGCGCCCCTCACGGTCTGCGCACACGCTGGTGTACGCGCGCGAGGCGAGGGTGGACAGCGGACTCTGTACCCGGCGGGTCTGCGAGCCCAGCTCCCGCGGCCGCAGGAGCCTCGGTGGGAGACGCCCGCCCAGCCGCCCGCCGCCTACCTGGCGGGCCCCGGGGGTGCCGGGATCCCGGGGTCCCCGAGGCTCCGCCTCGCAGTTTCCGTCACGTGCCGCCGCGCCGCCCAATCAGCGTCCGCAGCGCACAGGCTCGCGATTCAAACCGCGGCGCCGCCGGCTCGCTGGGATCCGCGCTGGGGCGGCCGCCGCCGCCGCCGCCGCTGCTTACCGGCCATGGAGCACCGCATCGTGGGCCCCGGCCCGTACCGGGCCACCAAGCTGGTGAGTGGAGGTGCCAGGGCCTGGGCGACGCCGCGATCCCCGCGATCTGCAAGGTTGGCGGGGCCCGAGTAGGGAGGCCGGACCCGTTCCGGCCTGGGCGGCCGTTTTCTGGACGATGTTCCCAAAGAAAGGCTTACCGGGCCTGGAGCTTGGCACGTCGTGGGTGGGTGCAGCTTCGTTCCCGACACACACTGGCCTGGTTCTCGGCAGTAAGTGAGCCTTCCGATTTAAAGCGCCCGAAAGAACAGGGTGACCCCACCCCCACCCCCTTTGTCCCCTGGAATCGAACGCCTGCAGCCCGGAGAGGAAGCGCCCCGTGGGTAACCTCAGGGCCCCCCACCCCTTGTAACACTAACCCTTCGCCGCAGTCCAGGCAGGGCGTGTCTCAGTCCTGAGTGTCACTTGTGGTGACACCGAGGTGCTTTCTAACGGTGCCCGGAACGCAGTTGGGTCTTGGCCGCTTTTCTGGTTCCCAGCGTTTCTGGTCTGTCCACACCTACCTAAAATCAGCGGTTGGCCCCATCGGATGTTCTTTTTGATTTTTTCTTCCTTTTAAAGATTATTTGACAGAGAGAGCGAGAGCAGGAACACAAGCAGGGGGAGTGGAAGAGGGAGAAGCAGGCTTCCCGCCGAGCAGGGAGCCCGATGTGGGACTCGATCCCAGGACCCTGGGATCATGACCTGAGCCGAAGGCAGACGCTTAACTACTGAGCCACCCGGGCGCCTCCGAACGGATCTTCCCTGAAAGAGCCTTTACAGACCATGAGGGTCCAGGGTGCTGCTTTGTCTCCTGGGAGAAGAACTTTGGTATTCAGGGTTCTGAGGCGTAGTTGATTTCTTTGTGACCTGGAGCAAGTGATTTTAGTGATTTGCGTTTTAGAGGATGACTCTAACGGAATAGTGGTGACAATTTGGTAATGTCAATTGCAGGTGTTTAAAGGCGTTCTTTGGAAGCCTGCTGGTAATTGGGAGGAAGGGACCCCGCTTCTTGGTCTTTTGCCACTTATGGCCACATATAATTTGGGAATTGGTTTCATTGTTCTGTTTAACGTAACGGATATCCAGGAAGAGACGGGAACAGGATGGGAGGAGTTACTGCACGCGTCTTTGCAAACTACAGGCGTTCGTAATGATTCATTCATTTAAAAAGATTCAGCAAATATAAATTTAGATTTTCCTCTGGGCTAGCCTCTAAGAGGTGTGGATGGTGCTGACAGGGAACAAATAGGGTTTTTAAAAAAATGTTTTCATATTTACTTCCACTTCACAACTGCTTCTACCGTTTGGAACCATCTGGGATCAGAGCTATTGGTAGGTCCATATTGAGGGATGAGATAAAGACTGTGCATCATCAGGGACTTTCAAAAACTTTACTGTCCTTTGTGGAGGGAAAAACATATCCCTCTTCCCCAAATTTATTCACAGCACTTATGCAAGGAAAACAGAAGCTCAAGATCTTGGGTAGCTAGTTCTCATCCTTCCTGCTTTAGACTAAAAGAAGTTACATCATAATTGGAACTGTTAAAATCTCATTCACTGAATTGTATAAATCACTACTTTTCATGGATGCATAGTACCTGTGTGATAAGGCACTGCTTCATTCTGAGTCACATTAAGATATTATCAAAGGAATTTATAAAGAAACATTTTCTTTGTTCTCCAGAAGCTGTCAGCCCCCAAGAAGTGATATTCAAGTCAAGTTTAGCCAAGACTGATCAAGTTAAGCAGGAAATTTAATTATGTGACTAATTAATGAAAGCACCTCAATTTTACCAGAACTTCCCAGGTAGTTCAGTTGTCAAATTTATTCTATTTGAGATCTTTGATCTTAAACCAAGATTCTGGAAGCACAGAAAACAATAGGAAATTTTTTTAAAAAGGTGAGACTTCCTGCTTTATCAGTCATCTTTGTCATCATTGTAGATGCTTTAACCTCATTATAAAATGTATAAATGTTTCCTGGAGCATAATTCAGTTGTGCCTTACAACTTTTACCAGGTAAATCACAAAGTTTGTGACTAGTCCTCTCTTTACTTATCTTCCCAGCTTATCTTTCCATCTCGCTGTCTCTGCTTATCCTTTCGCCCTTCTCCCAAGATCACCCTTAACCCAGTCTTCAGGAAAAGCTTGGGATAATCATTGGCATATAAAGAGTAGGCTTTTACTTCCTCCTTTCATGACTCCCTTTACTTTTTCAAACCATGTACAGCTCCATTTTCTAAAGCACCAAAGTCTTATCTGAAAATAACATTTTATGGACTAGGTAAATTTTTTTGCCAAAAATCAAATGACAGACTCTAAGTCATTACATGATGAATATGGAAGTTAATTAGAAACTTATTCATCTTCATTGAAATAGCTTTCACTTTTGTAACCCACATACAAATACGGTTGACCCTTGAACAATGTGGGGATTAGGAGTGCCCACCCATACGCAGTTGAACGTCCATGTGTAGCTCCCCCCAAACTTAACTACTAACAGCTTACTCTTCACAGGAAGCCTTACCGATAACATAAACAGTCAATTAACACATATTTTATAGGTTGTATGTATTATATACTGTATTCTTATAATAAAGTAAGCTAGAGAAAAGAAAATGTTATTAAGAAAATAAAAAGGAAGGGCGCCTGGGTGGCTCAGTCGATTAAGTCTCTGCCTTCGGCTCAGGTCATGATCCCAGGGTGCTGGGATCGAGTCCCACGTCGGGCTCCATGCTCAGTGGAGTCTGCTTCTCTCTCTGCCCCTCCCCTCTGCTCGTGCTCTCTCTCTTTCTTCCTCTCTCTCAAATAAAATCTTTAAAAAAAAGAAAATCATAAGCAAGAGAAAATACATTGACAGTATTTATCAATAAAAATCTGCATGTAAAGTGGACCCATGTAGTTCAAACCCCTGTTGTTCAAGGGTCAACCGTAGTTCATCATTTTAATAAAATAATGAGGAGAAAGAAAATTGCTTTTATAAAAACGGCTTTAACCTACTGATTCTTTGAACTTAATTCTGAGTTACTTCTACCATCTGATGCAAGTGGTAAACTTTAAAACCCATATAGCTGTCACTGAATCTGAGAACTAGAATGAATGGACATGACCAATTGTCTAGTCCAGTTTTCTCCTTCTCTTGAGGCCTATAGGGGTGAACTGACTTGATCAGGTTCGCCCTGCTAGTCTGTAGCAAGTTCAGCTAGAGGTAGAGTTTGGTTGTCTCTGTGCTCCCGGGCCAGGTGCTGTAGCATGATAGCACCATTCTCACAATATCTGTGGTACTAAGAAGGAAGGAAATGGAATAAACATCCTGGAGAAAAAAAAAAAAAAAACAGGAAGCACATTTCAACACTCAGTGCTGTATTTTGTAGTTTGGCTCATGATGTGAAGTAAAAACAATTGTGATTCCTTATTTCAGATCCCTAGTTTAAGGGATAAATAAGTAAAACAAAGTATTTTTTTTAATCACGAGCAAATCTCTTTTGTTCCCTTTGCTATAAAGATTTTTCTCTCCAAATAATGTCATAGAAAAAAATCACATTCTCAAGCTCTGTCTTGGTCTTTGATGACATAGGATATTTTCCTTCTAAGTGTGACTGAGAATTTTGAAGTATTTTACAGGTAATGTAATTCTTCTTTCTTGACAGAATAGCCGAATTACAACATAATTATTTTTGGAAGTAAGTAGGAACAGAGATCATAGTTCTCACCAGGTTTTAGAATTCTGAAGTGTTTCATGGACTGAGTAAATATAATCCATAATGATAAGCGCCATTAAGAATCAACATAAATATAAAAAAAATAATAAAAAAATTAAAAATTAAAAAGATAAAAAAATAAAAAAAAGAAATGCAAAGAATCAACATAAATAAATTAAAATTCATTTTATAAGATATGAGCTTTGATTAGGATGTCTTATTAGAAAATTTCTAGTGTGAAATGAAAACCAGCTATCAACAGAATCAGTAAAAATCCAGTCATAATAGTTTTTTTTTTTCTGTGTGTGGAATACACTGAATGAAAAGGTCATTCAGAAGAGTAAAAGTATGAGAATTAAAATTATTTTTGAAAAAAAATTTATTTTTAAAGGAGACTCTAGGTGACCTTGATCTACCAGAGATTTAAACTTAGTATTAATTGACTGTAATCACAATGGTGTAGTATTGCATAGGAAGACACAAATAGCTCAGTGGGATAAAAAAGAGAGTTCAGAACAGAATCAAGAAAGATACTATGTAAGGTAACTTAGTATTTCAATTCATTGAAAAAAGGGTGACATAATTGGCTCTCCATTTGGAAGAAAATAAAGTTAGAGGTGTTCTTCTCCCACCATAAAAAATTCTAGTTGAAGATTCAAATATTAAAAAAAATCCCTCTAAAACATTAAAAGAAAACTTTGATAAATATTTTTAATACCGCTGGTTGGGGAAATCTCTAACTTCCTTCCCCTAAAGGGGAAAATCCTGCAGCTATAAAGAAAATAAAGATATATTTGTTTCATTAACATCACAATCAACAACAAAACCTTCATATAGCTAGAGACCACATAAATTGATAAGCCAGGAGAAAACATTTCTAATATCTTTTTAAAAGGATTAGTATTTCATATTCATTCACTCAGAACACCTTTATTAAACACATGCACCATATGAGAGGCACTGTCCTCAGTTGTGGAGATACTGAACTGAGCAAAATAGACTAACTTTCCTGACTTCTATGCACTTTGACTTAAATGCTAGATTTAAACATTTTTAAAAAATTGATTAAGAAAAAGGAGACAACCCAATAGAAAAAGGTCAAGCCTCAGATAAATAAATGAAAATTACTTAAGATGAAGATAGGAAGATGCAAACAAAATACAGACATATCATTTCTTGAACACGAATTGGCAGAAATGAGAATGGTAACATCTAGTGATGGCCACAGGTAAGGCAGCATGCTCTGATATTGCTGGTAGGACTGTGAATTGTTACATCTGATCTAAATATGCTGATAAAATTTAGAAATCCATTCTATCACAAATAAATAAAAGCATTGGTCCTTTAAGTTATTTATTCATTTGAAAGAGAGAGAGAGAGATGTACAAGTGCGGGGGAGGGAGAGGGACAAGGTGGGGCCAACTCCATGCAGAGCACGGAGCCAACCCCACCTGAGGCGGGGCTCAATCTCAGGACACTGACATCATGACCTGGCGTGAAATCAAGAGTCGGATGCTTAAGCAACTGAGTCACCCATGTGCCCCAGGGTTTTTAAAGTAATATTTTGAAACAACAAAGTGCAAACAGATCCATGCCCATCAGTTAGAAAATGCTTTAGTAGGGGCATCTGGGTGGCTCAGTTGTTAAGCATCTGCCTTTGGCTCAGGTCATGGTCCCAGGGTCCTGGGATCGGCATCGGGCTCTCTGCTAGGGGGAAAGCCTGCTTCTCCCTCCCCCACTCCCTCTGCGTGTGTTTCCTCTTTCGCTGTGTCTCTCTCTGTCAAATAAATAAGTAAAATCTTAAAAAAAGAAAAGAAAATCGTTAAGTAAATTATGGCATTCATTCATAAGAATAGGCTAGATCTACAGGTTATTGACACAGAAAGACATCTATGCTGTGTTCAGTGCAAAAACAAGTTGGGAAATGTGTACAATAGAATTGATCACATTTCTTAAGAAAGGAAGCAAACAACAATACTAATAATAAATAACATACATTAAAAAGGGAAAATTCTATATGTGTGTGTATGTTTGACAGGTATGTGGGATCGGAGAGAGACTGGGCAATCTCTTTTATATACGCTTCTGCATTTAATTTGTTACAATGTGCATTATTACTTACCTAATTAAAATAAGTAGAGGAACTACTCACCAGCTTGAATCAGTTAATAGGCATATTTACTTCTGGTTTGAAATACGGGATTCCAGGGACCCATGTCTTCATTACATTTACTGCGTAATGTATAAAGTACTATGCATTAAGTTTAATTGATGATGATTATGATAATTCAATAAATATAAAATAAATGAAAATCTTTTTTATTAACTCTTCTTCCCTCCCCACTCCCAACATTCTTGATCAGGACTAACATGAAGGCTAGATGTCAGCAGAGAATTAAAACAACAACGATTAAAAATATGTGGAGACTGTTTAAAACTATGTTTGTGTTTAGACATATAGGTGGCATAATGAAATGAATACGACTCAGTGAGTTTTCTTATGAGCGCCCCATGTAACTGATACCCAGCTCAAGATATGTAACATTCCTAACACTCCCCTTGCCTTTCTCTGTCTTGACCTCTATACAAAGTAACCACTGTTATACTTTCTAATACCATGGATTAGTTTTGCCTGCTTTTTGATTTCATGTAAATGGAATCATATAGTTTTTTTGTTCTTTTTTTTTTTTTTTTAAAGTAGGCTTCATGCCCAGTGTGTAGCCCAACACAGGGTTTGAACTCACGACCCTGAGATAAAGACCTGAGCTGAGACTAAGAGTCGGATGCTCAACCAACTGAGCCACCCATGCGCCCCAAGCCTTGAAAATCTTTTACTTACAACCTTCCCACTCAAAAGAAAAAAATAACTTTTAAAAATGTATTTTATTCATTCAATAAGTATTTACTGGAGATATTACCACCAAGTTATCCCTTCATGTGAACTTAATGGATTCTTACATTCATGAGAAACAAACGATCAAAACTATGGCTAAAACTGAGCCCAATATGCCTAATTCACTTCTTAGGGCCCGATGTTTAATATGATTTTACTGCATTCAGCAAGTATGTACTGTTTATTACATGAAAAGCATTATAGGGAGAGAAGAAAAGAGAGATGTATGAGACATAGTGCCTGATGTCAAAACATGTTTAAAATTCGGCAAAATATTTTCCTATTTAAAAAAACAAAACCTAGACATCCACCCCTTCATCAGCCTTCCCTAGATTAAATGAAATGTTCACATATGGTATCCTTCCTACATAATTACACCAGCAGCTTTTTCAGACCCTAGGCTTCCTGCCAGCCTTCCTAAAAGTCCTGGAAACTCACAGTCTTACTCTCATAACCATTCTCCCTTCTCCCAGCCTTCTCTTTCAGGTCTATCACTGCACAAACTGAATCTTTACTTCTCACCCCCCTTCCCACTGAAACCAGAAAATCTTTTTCTAACAACTACAGTTCTGATCTCGGCATATTCTTTTTATTTTTCCCACTTCTGGCTCCTGTTTTCCCTTCTGATCAGGCCTTTTCTTCCAGGTTTCTCTTCATTCGTCCTGCCCAACCCAGTCTGCACCGATGGTCCACTTCTCTTCCACACAACACCAGAGATGTACAGGACCGAGGTAGGGTCTGTGCAAGCATGCACCCTGGACATAGAGCATAGTGCCCAACATACAGTAGGGATTCATCAAGCAAATGCTTAATTGGTCTTTCACTTTTTCTACCTTCTTTAACTACCTTCTAACGTGTTGCAATTGAATTCCACTCTGATTCCGAATCATGTCTTCCTTGTAGCCAAATTCAAATATCTTTTCGCGTTGGATATATATTAATCTTTCTACTTCATTTGACACTGTTCTATGCCATCCTCCAAATTAAGTTGGTCCAGATTTAAACAGTTTTTTAACATCTTAAAAACACACAGGAAACGAGACAATCCCATGTAGGATAACATTTAGATGTTTTTAGAATTTCTAAAACAAAAGAAAACAAAAAACTCAAGACACCAACGAAAAGACAGACACTCCATAGAAAAAATAAAATGGAAAATGACTTGAACAGGCATTTAACATGAAAAGATCTTCAAATTTACCATAATATATGCAAAGATGGGGTGCCTGGGTGGCTCAGTTGGTTAAACGACTGCCTTCGGCTCAGGTCATGATCCTGGAGTCCCAGGATCGAGTCCCGCATCAGGCTCGCTGCTCAGCAGGGAGTCTGCCTTTCCCTCTGACCTTCTTCCCTCTCATGCTCTCTCTCTACCAATCTCTCTCTCTCAATAAATAAATAAAAATCTTTAAAAAATATATGCAAAGATGTTCAGCCTTAGTAATTAGAAATGAAACGCAAAAGAAATCCCCGATGCAATACCACTACATGCCTACAAAATGGCTAAAATGAAAAAGATAGGCAACACTAAGTGCTGATGAGAATGTGGAGCAACTGGAAACCTCATACATTGCTGGCGGGAATATAAATCAGTACAACCACTTTGGAAAACAGGTTGGCAACCTCTACAAAAGTTAAATATATGCACACCTTATAAACCAGCAATTTCCGTTAAGTATATATCCAACAGAACGTATATATATGTTGACCAAAAAACACAACGTTCAAAGGAGCACTATTCTTAGAAAAAAACAACCCAAATGTCCATCAACTTAAGAAAAGATAAATAGTGGGGCACCTGGGTATTGCAGCTGGTTAAGTGACCGACTCTTGATTTTCACTCAGGTCATGATCTCAGGGTTGTAAGATTGAGCCCTGAGTTGGGCTCCATGCTGTGTGTGGAGCCTGCTTGGGATTCTCTCTCTCCCTCTTCCTGTCCGCCCCCCCCCCACCGCCAACCCACTCACGCGCTCTCTCTCTTAAAAAAAAAATAGTGATTTGTTTATGCAACGGAATACTGCACAGCAATAAAAATGAACTCTGCCACATGCGTTAACATGGATGAATAACGTAAATAAAATGTAGATATAAGAAGGCCAGAAGAAAAGTAAAAACCGTATGATTCCACGGGGTGCCTGGATGGCTCAGTCAGTTAAGTGTCTGACTCTTGTCCCACCTTGGGTTCCATGCTGGGCATAGAGCCTACTTAAAAAAAAAAAAAAAAAAAAATTAAAGTCTTTGTCATCAAGGTAGTCTTTTCAATGGAAGAACTGCATTCATTGTCTTAAATATTTGGGACGTAATAACCTTTAAAAAAATCAGTTGGTTACTAAATGCTTTTCTCCCTTTCTTTCCCAGTGGAATGAAACAGTTGAGCTTTTTCGTGCTAGGATGCCTTTACGGAAACATCGCTGTCGTTTCAAAAGTTATGAACGTTGCTTCACGGCGGCCGAAGCTGTGGATTGGCTGCATGAGCTCTTGAGGTGCAGTCAGAACTTTGGCCCTGAAGTGACCCGCAAACAAACGGTTCAGCTGCTGAAAAAATTCCTCAAGAATCATGTTATTGAAGACATCAAGGGAAAATGGGGTCAGGAAGATTTTGAAGACAATCGTCACTTGTACAGGTAAGCGTGACAAGTTTACCCTGAAGGGGAGGACCACAGGGAGGACAACTGGATCTGGTCAGTCTCTTGAAACTTCCTCGTGTGGAATAATCTCTCTTGTCTAGTGGAGTGATGCTCACACTTGTGATTTGTTGAGTGAAGAACCACGTGTGTTGTTACGATAAACCTGTTGCAATGTTCTTGGGTCCGTAGAGCGCCCCCTAGCCGTGTTTAGTTGCAGTGACTTTTCAGAAAGGACATCTGTTCATGCCTTTTGCACACCTGGGGGGAGGGCTACAGGGGTTCTCGGGAATCTGAAAGGGTGAAAGAGCAGCTCTGGGGTGGGCCTTTCTAGCAGCGAGAGGGTTGTATTCACGGGGTTAGTGGCAGAGTGGGTCTGATCTTTAAGCACATCTCGGGGCCTGTATGAAGAATTGTGCTAGAATTCCCTGATGTCTTAGTTGAACCCTGGCAATGTATGTCCCTGTTCTCCAAAACATGTTTTGGTGCTCATGTTTTGGTGCTATTTTGTGATGGGACACTTACCACCTGATGATCCAAGGAAAATATGCATGTCTCTCTGCTCGGACTTTCCTTTTCACTACATGCTAGGCTGTTTTATTGCTGGAGGTGGCAGTGTGGCGGCGGGGGGCTACCTAAGCTTCAGGGACTGGGGGAATATTAAAGAGGAATGAAGCTGCACGTGTCCTGAGAAGAGAAAGTGTTGAGTTATCGACAGAGAGACCCCCCAGAGGGCTGAGAACTTGAAGGGAAGTTAAAAGAAGAAATGGAGAATATGGACCCTTAACATTTGCTTTCTTTTACTCTGAAAGACAAATGAAGAATGCTCTTACAACACATTTAGTGAGGCAGTTTGGGGCCACTGAGCCCCATGGCTTTGAGCAGAGAAAAACCTGTTTATTCCTCCCTGAACCATTTCTTTGGCTCCTTTGTGGGCTAGCTGCTAGGAGAGGTTGCAGAGCAGTGTGAGGGTGACCTCCAACACCAAGGCTAAGACCAGACATTGCTGCATGTTTAGCATTGAGCTGCTTCTTCTTCTTCTTCTTTTTTTAAGATTTTATTTATTTATTTGACACAGAGAGAGAGAGAGCACAAGTAGGGGGAGCAGCAGAGGGAGAGGGAGAAGCAGACTCCCCGCTGAGCAGGGAGCCCGATGAGGGGCTCGATCCCAGGACGCTGGGATCATGACTTGAGCCGAAGGCAGACGCTTAACTGACTGAGCCACCCAGGTGCCCCAGCATTGAACTTCTTTGTAGAATTTCATTGGCAGTCTTCAGGTTCCAGATATCAAGATTGTCATCAGGGCAATTCGTTGTCTCTCCATTTGGCAGTTATTTCTGGCTTGCTCATCCAACTTTTAAGTAGGATCTTGGGTGATTTTGGCTTATTCTGAGACTATCGTGTTTGTTAGCATCAGGCAGCGGGGACTCTAGCCCTGGTTCTGCATGCCATACATCATGGGGAATTCTCAAGTGATTATTTCTCTTGAGAAACTGTAAGTACTTGTACCCCATCACAACTTAGCTAGAACACTTCTAAAAAATTCTCTGGATGAGTAACTTCCAATCTATTCTGTTGTGACCTTAAATGGGGGTAACATCCATTGTGTCCCAGGAGGCTTTTCAGAGTCCTCGGGGGAGGGAAATCGGAGCATGCTCTAGGAGCTAACCATCCAGCACTGTCAGAACATGCTTTGTGTCACTATGAAGCCTTAATTGTGTGTCCCCCTTTAAAACATCAAGTGCACAGGCAGATTACATTTGTCTATTAAATAATGATTTTCCTTTCACCTTCTGTAATACCTGTGAATCATAAAGGGAGCAGGATTTTCTTCTGTTATTTACCACCTGAAAACTCTTAGCTTTCCATTTTCCTGGGTGAAAGTTCTGTACGCTAACTACTGATGTTTGCCAATTTCTCAGATTAATCTAGGATGAAATCTATGTAGATAGGTAAATCATTTGTTAGGAGCCTGTGCCTTGAATTGAGAATGAGCTAATGAGTGTGGAGGCAGCTGTTGGATGCATGCAGCTTCTGGGACTGGTGCTCAGGATCCTCACACCTGCGTGCTAGGGCTCCAGGCAAGAGTGGGGGTCGCCGCCCTGCCTGCTGTCCTTCTAGCTGCTGTCCTGGTAGAATAGGACTGCTGCCGCATTATAATGGAAATAGATGAGTGAGATTAGGACCTAGAGGCAGGTTAAATTTAAAAATAGATGGAGAATGTGCTACGGTGAGCGCTGTGAATTGTGCAAGACTGTTGAATCACAGATCTGTACTTCTGAAACAAATAATGCAACATATATTTTAAGAAAAAAGAAAAAGAAGAAGATAACAGGAGAGGAAGAAAAGGGGAGTATGTCAGAGGGGGAGACGAACCATGAGAGATGATGGACTCTGAAAAACAAACTGAGGGTTCTAGAGGGGAGGGAGGTAGGGGGATGGGTTAGCCTGGTGATGGGTATTGAGGAGGGCACATTCTGCATGGAGCACTGGGTGTTATGAACAAACAATGAATCATGGAACACTGCACCAAAAACTAATGATGTAATATATGGTGATTAACATAACAATAAAAAAATAAAAAAAAATAGATGGAGAGCCAGTGAGGTGGAGAAATTCCAGAATGTGCTTTTAAATATCAAGCTTTATGGGGGGGGGGCCTTTATAAATAGTATCGAAGAGGCTGGAATGGCCAGCCGAGCGTGCTTGCTGGCATGTAAGGAACTAACGTAATCAAGGGCCTATGATGTGCTGACATGTCACATTATCGTCATTTAACCCAACATCTGTTGATACAGTGTATTTTCCTAATTTTAAAGATTAGGAAGTTAATAAGGCCAAAGCTCCAAAGTCCCTCAGCTGGACTCAAAAAAATGAATCCTGACCAAGAAGAGTCAGGATTTGAATTGAGATGCCTGTGTCTGAAGCCTGTCTTCTTACAGTATGCTATATCACCTCCATTTCCACAACATGAAGTGGACTTCACTTGAACACACATTAATAAACAAGAAATATTTGGTGTGGCCAACATGTGTTTATATACTTACAGAATTCCAGCGATGTCTTAAGTACTGGGTAATACATTGAATGATCAGCCGTGTTCAAGAAGTTGTCAAATAAGGGAATAAGGTAAACGTCATCAGCCTAAGCACTTATAAATATAGCAGTGGGTGGGTGGTTTCTTGGGTCTATGAGTTAAAGAAAGCTACACGAAATACCGAAGGCTCTTAGAGCATTTTTTAAGGACAGAAACACACACAGTATGTGTTGAAGAATTTTGTAACAGAAATTGAGTTAAGCTTTTATTTTAGAATGTGTCCAATCTTATTTCTAGTTTTATTTCTTTATTTTTATTTTTTTAAAGATTTTATTTATTTATTTGACAGAGAGAGAGAGTGAGAGAGGGAACACAAGCAGGGGGAGCGAGAAAGGGAGAAGCAGGCTTCCCGCGGAGCAGGGAGCCCAATGTGGGACTTGATCCCAGGACCCTGAGATCATGACCTGGGCCGAGGGCAGACGCTCAACGACTGAGCCACCTGGGCGCCCCTTCTTTATTATTTTTTTAAGGTTTATGTATTTATTTGACAGAGAGAGACACAGTGAGAGAGGGAACACAAGTGGGGAATGGGAGAGGGAGAAGCAGGCTTCCTGCGGAGCAGGGAGCCCGTTGCAGGGCTAGATCCCAAAACCCTGGGACCTGGGACCTGAGCCGAAGGCAGATGCTTAACAACTGAGCCCCCCCAGATGCCCCTTATTTCTAGTTTTAAAAGACTATGTGTCATGTCTCTTCTGTGACTACATTTACATTTGTTAACCATGATTTTTTTTATCAAGAGTCAAAGAGATAAGTATAGAAAATAGAAGGAAATAGTGAGTTTTGGTGTTAAAGAAAGGGAAGCCAGATCCCAATATCTCAATGTCCATAATAGTCAGAGAGGTTGCAGAGAAGTACCCAGAGCTAGTTACTGAACCTTGTCTTTCCCGTTTCTAATGCCACTGTCTGGGAAGAGTTCTGAATTTGCTGCTCCTGAAGACTGTTTTAGATTTCACTGAAGGCTCTACATAGTTGAGCCAGGTGCTGTCATCTGTGTCTAACACAGTTTCCTAGTCCTACACCTACACCAAATATACATAACCAGAGTTATGTGTATTTGTATAAGAAGTGTCAGTTTATAAAGCAGTTTCCCTTCCGTGATCTGATTTGATCTACATGGCAACCCTTGGAGGTGGACAGGGTGGATATTACATCTAAAGAGAACCAGATGCTTTTCTCTTTGAAACATCTAAACCAAATACCAGGAACGTTCTAGTTAAAGAAATTCCACACTGATTGAATCTGTCCATTTACATATGTGAACAGGCAATTATAGAGTATTTAAACCTATAGTAATGGGTTACCTAAAAATTGAAGTGCCATTATGATAATTGCTTGTTTGGATGATTTAATGAGGAAAGCCATTGGCCAAGGTAGATCTTTAGGAGGATGGGGTTCCTGGTCTGGTGAGACACCTAGCCCTTGACCTGCTCTCATTACTGATGCTAGCTAGCTGTGGTAGACAGTGGAAATTGGGAAGGTGTTTGCGGTTCACAGACAGGAATTCATTGGCTTAGGTTTAGCGGTTGAGTCCCATGTGTAGGGGACCATTTTCTTTTTATTTTCCCCCTCTCCCTGTTCCCTTTTTCTATTTCCTTCTTTTTCTGTGTTTCTACTTCTTTATGTGTGTCTCTCTCATGCTTCTACTTTTTACTTTTTTCTCTTCAGTTCACTCTTTCTCTCTGTTCCCTTTCCCTCATATTTACCTTTTTTCCATCCTATTTCCATAATACTGATTTTAATTTGAAACTAGAAGTTTTTATGTGGATATTGTCAGCTCTATTGAATAATGGTACTTTCACGTTCTTAATTTAAAAAGAATCATGCTGCCCAGTTTTAAGACTTGTACATAAAGCCAAAATAATGGAGACTGTGGTGTTGGTAAAGGGATAGACGCCTAGACTGG